GGAGATGGGAGGGATCAGCAAGGAAGGCTACCTTATTGAGGTCAGAACATGTTGGGATAAAGTGAGAAAGGCCAAAAGCCATGTAGAGTTGGACCTTGCAAAGGGAATTAAAACCAATAATAAAAGGTTCTATAGCCATATAAATAAGAAGAAAACAAAGAAAGAAGAAGTGGGACCGCTAAACACTGAGGTTGGAGTGGAGATTAAGGATAATCTAGGCATGGCCCAATATTTAAACAAATACTTTGCCTCAGTCTTTAATGTGGCTAAGGAGGGGCTTAGGGATAATGGTAGGACGACAAATGGGAATGAAGATATGGAGGTAGATATTACCACATCCGAGGTAGAAGCCAAACTTGAACCGTTTAATGGGACTAAATTGGGGGGCCCAGATAATCTTCATCCAAGAGTATTAAAGGAAGTGGCACATGAAATTGCAAGCCCATTAGCAAAATTTTTTCATGAATCTGTAAACTCAGGGGTTGTACCATATGATGGGAGAATTGCTAACACAATTTTTATTTTTAAGAAAGGAAAAAAGTGATCTGGGTAACTACCGGCCTATTACTTTGACATCTGTAGTATGCAAGGTCTTGGAAAAAATTCTGAAGGAGAAAGTAGTTAAGGACATTGAGGTCAATGGTAATTGGGACAAAATACAACATGGTTTTACAAAAGGTAGATTGTGTCAAAGCAACCTGATCTCCTTCTTTGAGAAGGTAACAGATTCTTTTAAACAAAGGAAACGCAGTGGATCTAATTTATCTCGATTTCATAGAATCATAGAATATCAGGGTTGGAAGGGACCTCAGGAGGTCATCTAAGTCCAACTCCTTGCTCAAAGCAGGACCAATCCCCAGTTTTTGCCCCAGATCCCTAAATGGCCCCCTCAAGGATTGAACTCACAACCCTAGGTTTAGCAGGCCAATGCTCAAACCACTGAGCTATCCCTGCCCCCATTTGCCATCAAATGCCATCAGTAAGGCATTTGATATGGTTCCACATGTGGAATTATTAGCTAAATTGGAAAAGATGAAGATCAATATGAAAATTGAAAGGTGGATAAGGAACTGGTTAAAGGGGAGACTGCAACGGGTCACACTGAAAGATGAACTATCGGGCTGGAAGGAGGTTACTAGTGGAGTTCCTCAGGGACCAATCTTATTTATTCTTTTTATTATTGACTTTGGCACAAAAAGCGGGAATGTGTTAATAAAGTTCGTGGATGACATAAAGCTGGGAGGTATTGCCAATACAGAGAAGGACCGGGATATCATACAGGGAGATTTGAATGACCTTGTAAACTGGAGTAATAGTAATAGGATGAAATTTAATAGTGAAAAGTGCAAGGTCATGCATTTAGGGATTAATAACAAAAATTTTTGTTATAAACTGGGGACGCATCACTTGGAAGTAACAGAGGAGGAGAAGGACCTCGGAGTATTGGTTGATCACAGGATGACTATGAGCCGCCAATGTGATATGGCCGTGAAAAAAGCTAATGCGGTTTTGCGATGCATCAGGCGAGATATTTCCAGTAGAGATAAGGAGGTGTTAGTACTGTTATACAAGGCACTGGAGAGACCTCATCTGGAATATTGTGGGTAGATCTGGTCTCCCATGTTTAAGAAAGATGAATTCAAACTGGAACAGGTACAGAGAAGGACTACTAGAATGATCCGAGGAATGGAAAACCTGTCTTATGAAAGGAGACTCAAAGAGCTTGGCTTGTTTAGCCTAACTAAAAGAAGGCTGAGAGGAGATATGATTGCTCTCTATAAATATATCAGAGGGATAAATACCACGGAGGGAGAAGAATTATTTAAGCTCAGTACCAATGTGGACACAAGAACAAATGGATATAAACTGGCCACCAGGAAGTTTAGACTTGAAATTAGACAAAGGTTTCTAACCATCAGAGGAGTGAAGTTCTGCAACAGCCTTCCAAGGGAAGCAGTGGGGGCAAAAGACACATCTGGCTTCAAGACTAAGCTTGATAAGTTTATGGAAGGGATAATATGATGGTATAGCCTAATTTTGGCAATTAATTGATCTTCAACTACTGGCAGTAGATATGCCCAGTGGCCTGTGATGGCATGTTAGATGGGATGGGATCTGAGTTACTACAGAGAATTCTTTCCTGGGTGCCTGGCTGGTGAGTCTTGCCCACATGTTCAGGGTTTAGCTGATCGCCATATATGGGGTCGGGAAGGAATTTTCCTCCTGGGCAGATTGGCAGAGGCCCTGGGGGGTTTTCGCCTTCCTGTGCAGAGTGAGGCATGGGTCACTTGCTGGAGGATTCTCTGCACCTTGAAGTCTTTAAACCACGATTTGAGGACTTCAGTAGGCCAGACATAGGTTAGGGGTTTGTTACAGGAGTGGGTGGGTGAGATTCTGTGGCCTGTGTTGTGCAGGAGGTCAGACTAGAGGATCATAATGGTCCCTTCTGACCTCAAAGTCTATAATTCTATGATTCACTGCTTCCCTCTTTGCGCTTAAAAAAATCAAATATGGGAAACAACTGGACTATACAAAACTTTAAAAAAATATTCAAGACCTGTCATAAGGCTGATGATTGACAATGTTTCAGGGAAGGATTTCTGCAATCTTGTATGGTTGCCCTGACTACCACTGTCAAAACTAAGGCCTCTTGATTTCTGTATAAAAGCGTCCATGCAGGGGTTCAAAGCCCTGTAATTTATGTGCATTAAATTCACACCTTTAGTGTCACACCATGTAGACAAGCCCTTAATAAGTAAAGGGAAGGGTGATAAGAGAAACTGAAGGGGGAAGCCTCTGTTAATATTTTTAGTTTAAAATGTTTTAGCTGGTTTTCCATGACACCCACACAAATCGGGGGCTGCAGACATTCAGATGCAAATACTTCTGCTGGCAAAGGAATAACGATAGCCACACAATCAATATCAGAGTTCTTAAGACATAATAAAGGTTTATTTAACATCTGAACCAGCGCTATTATCTGTGTCCTCAATGCTAAGAAAATGCGTGTTTTTTTTACCATGGGGTAACTAACCTGCATTAGCTATCCCCACTGTAAAGACAGAGTAGAGACAAGGCACTTCAGTTTCACCAGAAGGCAAACAAGGTGAGGTCAGCACTATGCCTCCCACTGAACCAATGCAAAGGAGTAACCGGATCATTCATTAAAAAAGTCTTGATTTTTGGCAGGACAAAGCAGTAAACTTGTCCGAATGAAAAACATCACTGAAATGTATCATAACAAATGTATCATACATAAAAGGTTATGAAATTAAAACACACAATTAGAAGGATAAACAATTCAGTAGAAATATCAATATCTATGTATGCAACAAATGAAGTAACAGAAGAGTAAAGTGTGGACGTCAGTGTTTGCAGGATGGGATGTTACTTACAGAAATAAGGATTTTTAATAAATTTTCACTTACAAAAGTGTGTGTGTATGGGGGGGTAGGGGAGGAAGCACAAGTTACTGGACGTCAAAAATATTATAGGATTGTACAACCAACTGTTCTGTTGTTACCTCTCCTAAAGAATCCATAATCCTAGAAGTATAAAGCTAATGTGCTCTAAAGGCGCAGAAATCAAAACGCAAATTAAAAGAGCGCAAAATGTATTTAGTTATTTGTTTAATTTCATGATTTTTTGTGTGTGTAATTGATGATTTTTGAATTTTTGCTTTTGTCAGTCTACCTTGGAGTTGTATATCTATATTTAGTTTTAAAAACAGTAGTCATTTATCTTTGAGAAGAATTTCATAAAAGGTACTATTGTGCCCTTGGGGCCAGATTTTTAAAGGGGTTTAGGTAACCTTTAAAAATCTGACCTGTAGTGAATATTTGGTAACCAAGTTCTGTAGATGACTGAGGCTACGTTTTAATCAAGGGTAATTTTTTAGTAAAAGTCATGGGCAGTAAACAAAAATTCACAGCCTGTTACCTGTCCATGACTTTTACTATATACCCCTCACTAAAACTTGGGCCAGGGGGCTGTGGGTGCTCTGGGGGGATGGTCCAGGACCTCCGCTGGTGCTGTGGGGGGAGACAGGCGGTGGTGCGCAGCCCAGGACCCCCACTGATGCTGGGGGGAGGTGGGTGGTGGTTCTCAGCCTGGGACCTCCGTTGCTACTGGGGAGGGTGGGGGGAATGGCAGCGGGCAGCCCGGGACCCCTGCTGTTTCTGGGCCGGGAGGGCGTTGGTAGAGCTGGCAGACTTTCTACTTGACTCCACGTGTCCCTGCAGCTCCTAGAGGGAGGGTGGCCAGGGGGTTCTGCATGCTGCTCCCACCACAAATGCCAGCGCTGCAGCTCCCCTTGGCCAGAAACTGCAGCCAATGGGAGGTACAAGGGTGGTGCCTGTGGATGTGGGCAGCATGTGGAGCTCCCCTGGCCCCTCCGCCTAGGAACTGCAGTGACATGCCAGTGGAAGCCGAGGAGCCCCCCGCCGGGTAAGTGCCATCTCAGACCCCAACCCCCTGCCCCAGCCCTGATCCCCCTCCCACACACCCAAACTGCTGCTGCTGGTTGCCTCCGTGACAGACATGCAGCCTTAGTGATGACATGTGAAAATGCACTGAGGTGCTGGACAGAGAGGCAAAATAACATTACACAAAGGCATTCCTCATTGGCAGATCAAAGGAAACTGAAGAAGTTTTGACACCAACCCAGGAAATCTGTCAGCCTTGATGCCGTATGATCCTAAAGAATAAACTTGTGTATTAAATTTAAAAAAGAGCAAAAATTTAGATTTGAAAAATAGTGTCGCAGTACGAATAAGAAGTGTTATAGCAGAAACACTGTGAGATGTTTCAGAGGAACAGCCATGTTAGTCTGTATTCGTAAAAAGAAAAGGAGTACTTGTGGCACCTTAGAGATTAAGGAATTTATTTGAGCATAAGCTTTTGTGAGCTACAGCTCACTTCATCAGATGCATCCGATGAAGTGAGCTGTAGCTCACGAAAGCTTATGCTCAAATAAATTCCTTAATCTCTAAGGTGCCACAAGTACTGAGATGTGATTGCTGAAGTTACTATTAGATATTCAATTATTATTTGTTATAAAAGTATGCACAATGAGATCCATCTGCATAGTTTTAACAAAGGTAAACTATGAAGTGCAGCGAGCAATAAAATAAAAAAATTTAAAAGTAAATAATTGAAAGCCATGAAACACCATTTACAGCAGATGACTAGAAAAAGGCAGTACAACTCAGGCAATTGGAACAATAGCTAAGACACAGTTGTGACCTGCTATGAGACATATGAACTGATAAGGGATTCATCTAAACTCTGACCATTATAATTTTTGGAGGGGGGTGTTCGTAAAATATTTCATGGAATCAAGTCTCCATTCACAGATCAGTATGTCATATCAGACAGGGAAGAGCTGCCTTGTCTAGACATTGGGATGCACTGGGCCTTTAAGAACACAGCCCTGGGAAGCAATTCCCTGGGATGGAGGGAAAAAAAAACATTTGGTTCCCCACCACCACCCCATTTTTGCAATCACTACAAATAGTTCACCCCATATGGGGGAACTTTCCTCTTCTCTGCCCCTCCCTATCCTCCTTTGCCACACTGTCTGGCCATGCCTGTACCCGATTTTGAACTGTGGCTCTTACCCTCTGTCATTTACTTTGCTACTTGGCCCCTCTTCTTCCCCTGTCTCCAGCTGTTTGACCCTCCCGTGAAGTCCCTCCCCTCTGATTTGCCTCCTTTCCTCCTTTAACTCCTGTGAACAGCAGGGAGCAGATTGTAACCCCCTGAAAGGGCAGAGCCAGGCAGCGCTTTCAGCAGATGTTACTGAGCAGGCGCAGTTGGGATGATCCTGCTGAATAATAGGCAAATTGTGTCCAAAAGTAGATTAGAATGTTACGCTAGTCTCTCCTTCTTAAAGCTTGCTCTGCACCCAACTCAGGTAGGGACTTTCCCCGGTGGCTACAGTTAGGGCAGCCCCGGTGCTGGGGAATGGCAGGAAAGTGACTCTGCACAAAGGGCCTTTTCAGGGGCCTGCAGCTGGTGAGTTTGTACTAGAGGGTGACGGGCTCCCCAGGTGTCTTTGAGCAGGTGTGTCTACTAGGGAGAAAATGCCCACCTAAGTTGGACAGTAACCAGTACTCTCCAGGCAGGAAGAGAGAGAGAGAAGACAGAACAGTAGAGTGGAGAGATTGAAAGGGGAAGAGAGAGCAATAAATGGGAACGAGGTTTCCACACCCCAACTGTGCCAAGCTCCATTCACTGTAGCACCCCGGGAAGATTGACTTTCCTAGATAAATTCATAGAGGATAGGTCCATCAGTGGCTATTAGCCAGGATGGGCAGGGATGGTGTCCATAGCCTGTTTGCCAGAAGCTGGGAATGGGCAACAGGGGATGGATCACTGGATGATTACCTGTTCTGTTCGTTCCCTCTGGGGTACCTGGCACTGGCCACTGTCTGAAGACAGGATACTGGCCTAGATGGACTTTCGGTCTGACCCAGTGTGGGCATTCCTATGTTCTTATAAAGAAGGTGAAGAGCAGAAAGAGGAAAAGCCAGTTCCTGCCTCTGCCTAATCCCCATGCTGCTGGGGGAATGTGCTGACCTTGGGACAATATCAGGAGGACCCCCCAAAGCAGCTCCATTGATTCTGCTCTTTTCTAGCATTTGGCTCAGACTCTGTTACTGGGATGCTTTAAAAGTGTTTCAAGGATTTTGTTCCAGTGGGAGGAACCAGGTTTACATTGTAATAAAGTGACTGAGCATTTTCACAGTCTCTCTCTGAAGGGAAAGAGCCTGGGGGAATTGGGGTGTGAAATAGACTGAAACTCCTTCTGAAACCTCCCCAGTCGTCTTCTCACCCTGACAGGCTGCAGAATAACAACCACGTTTTGCCCCAGATTATCCCATGTTCCTGAGGGACAGGGAAGGGAAATGGCTGTGTTGGATCCAGCTCAGGTAAGGGATTCTGGGGAGAGCTAGTGGGGAGGGTTGTTGTTGAGGGGGAGGGGAAGGACATACATAGGGTGAAGCAGGGAGGGGGACAGGTATAATAAACCTGCTGGGACATGCCCAGCCTAGGGCTTTGTGTGTGTGTATGTGTGTGAATATTCCTCCATATCTGAAAGAGGAAACAACCCCCCTGGACAGGGCTGGAAAAACAAACCAGAGTGCTGGAGTCTGAACCCACTAGGCAGAGACTGTGGTGAAATACAAAGGGAAGGTGTTGGGATTCCTGTCCCTGTCCCCGTGTGGAGCTCTGCTTCCCATATCAGCCTGTGCCTAGTAGGAATGTGGTAAATGAGAAGACCCTGTCGTCCTCCGTCTGCTGGGAGGGACAAGGAGCTCTCACCTTCTCTCTGTTCCTTAGAGCCTCCTGGCCACTCTGAGCAGGGTGGGGGTGGGATTCTGCTCCTCTGTCCCTCCCAGAGCTGTCATGTCTTTGTGCTTCTTCCCCCATGAATAGTGGGATTGTGGCTGGGGCAGCAGGCACTGAGTGGGGAGCACCTGTTGTTTCAGATGTCGGTGACCTTCGAGGATGTGGCTGTGTACTTCACGGAGGGGCAGGGGGCTCTGCTGGACCCCAGTCAGAGAGCCCTCTACAGGGACATCATGCAGGAGAATTATGAGATGGTGACCTCAATGGGTAAGGATTCCTGTCCCCTCAGCTATTTGAAGCCATGGGGCCTGCATTTCTGAATCTGGTCAGGCTCTTCCCTGGTTAGAGGGGAATGGGTCACATAGTCCAGGGGCTCTCAACCTTTCCAGACTACTGATTTCTCATGTATACCCCAAGTTTCACCTCGCTTAAAAACTACTTGCTTACAAAATCAGACATAAACATAAAAAATTGTTATAGCACACTATTACTGAAAGTTGCTTACATTTACATTTTTACCATATACTTATAAAATAAGTCAATCGGAATATAAATATTGTACTTATATTTCAGTGTGTAGCATATAGAGCAGTATAAACAAGTCATTGTCTGTATGAAATTTTAGTTTTTACTGACTTTGCTAGTGCTTTTTATGTAGCCTCTTGTAAAACTAGGCAAATATCTAGATGAGTTGATGTACTCCTGGGAGATCTCTGCATACCTCCAACTGGTTGAGAACCACTGGGATTGTCCACAGCTCCAGTGTGAAAGAGCTGTTAGTCTCCAAACCTTCTTCAGTGGGATAGGGGAGTCATGAACCTAATGGACTTTCTAATTTATGCCCATCACTCCAGCTTTCCTGGGGGCAGAAGCAGTGTATTATCCTATCTGCATTAATTCTCACTCGCACACAGGATCTCTGTTCACCTCCCTTCATGGGATTAGCTCCATCTCTGGGGAGGGCTCTGGATGTTTAGACATAGACAGGGGTTTAACACCAGAGCTGTGTGTGCCTCAGCAAGTCCCCCAGAGCCCACAGATCCTGAAAATTCCTAGTGAGAGTGTGACAACTCCCTCCACCCCCAAACATCTGCCACTCCCAAAGGGGCTCTGTGACCACATTCCCATCTGTTCAGATCCCACAACCCCCATCACAGTACGAGGCCAGGTTAGAATCAGGGTATGTTCTTTGTGACAAATAGTTTTTGAATCCTCAATGCAGCATGATCTTGCCTGATTTTACCCCCTCAGCAGGACTCCCCATTCCCAAACCTGACCTGATTGCCCGGCTGGAAAGAGGGGAAGAGCCATGGGTCCCAGATCTCCAGGCTTCTGAGGAAAGGAAGATCCCAAGAGGCACCCACACAGGTGAGCAGTCAGTGACACTGACACAGAAACCATCTGGTGAACCTATCCTCTTAGCTGTTAGGAGTTTTCTCCCCGACTTCACTTCCCTGTGAGTGTTTGAATGGGATGTGGAGGTAGAATCCAATTTCTCACTCTCCCCAATGGTTATTGGGCTACTGTGTTTTCCCTGTTTCCCTCTTTTTTTTTTTTTTTTTTTTCCCCTTTCTCCCCAGCACAGAATGACTCTTTTCTGGATTCTCTCTCTCCCAGCAGGTGATAGGACTATGAGTGAGAACAGGGAGGAGAATCCACAACAGAAAAGTAAAGCACTGCTGAAACCACAGGGGATGCTTTTGAGAAGAGCTAAAGGGAATTCTTCTCAATGCTTGGAAAATGTCAAAACCTGGGGAAATCAACATAAATCAAAGAGGAAGCTGGGAAACCACCTAAGGAAGAAAGTAGATGAATCCATTCAGTATGGGGTAGGATGTAACGATTTCAAGGAAACCATAGCCCAGCCAAAAACCCACGTGGAAGAGAGAACCTACAAGTGCTTAGACTGTGGGAAAAGTTTCAGTCGGAACTATTCCCTTCTCCTACATCAGAGAATCCATTCAGGAGAGAAACCCTATAAATGCTTGCATTGTGGGAAAAGTTTCAGTCGGAACTATACCCTTATTCTACATCAGAGAACCAGTATGGGAGAAAGAATTCCTAATCACATTGATGGTGGGAAATGTGTCAATCAGAATTCAAACCTTATTACTCATCAGAAAATCCACACAGAGGAGAGACCCCATAAGTGCTTTGAGTGTGGAAAATGTTTCACTGAGAAGTCAACCCTTGTTAAACATCAAAGACTCCACACAGGAGAGAGAGCTCATAAATGCTTGCACTGTGGGAAAAGTTTCAGTCGGAACTATACCCTTATTATACATCAGAGAATCCATACGGGAGAAAAACCCCATAAATGCTTGCACTGTGGGAAAAGTTTCAGGCGGAACTACACCCTTATTCTACATCAGAGAATCCATACGGGAGAGAAACCCTATAAATGCTTGCACTGTGGGAAAAATTACAAGCAGAAATCAAGCCTTTTTTCACATCAGAAAATCCACACAGGAGAAAAACCCCATAAATGTTTGGACTGTGGGAAAAGCTTCATTCACAGCTCACAGCTTATTAGACATGAGAGACTACACACGGGAGAGAGACCTTATAAATGCCTTGAATGTGGGAAAACCTTCAGTCGGAACCATACCCTTATTCTACATCAAAGAATCCATACAAGAGAGAGACCCCATAAGTGCCTCTACTGTGGGAAGTGTTTCAGTCGGAATTCAAACCTTGTTACTCATCAAAGAATCCACACGGGCGAGAGACCCCATAAATGCGTTGTGTGTGGGAAATGTTTCAAAGACAAGTCAAACCTTATTACACATCAGAGAATCCATACTGGGGGGAGACCCCATGCATGCTTGGACTGTGGGAAAAGCTACAGTCGGCGGTCACACCTTACTAAACATCAGAGAATCCACACAGGAGCGTGCCCCCATAAATGCTTGAGCTGTGGGAAAACTTTCAATCAGACCTCAAACCTTGTAACACATCAGAGAATCCATATGGGAGAGAAACCCTATAAATGCTTGGACTGCGGGAAAGGCTTTGGTCAGAGCTCACACCTCACTATGCATCAGAGAATTCATACAGGGTATAAACCCTATAAATGTTCCGACTGTGAGAAAACCTTCATTCAGAGATCACATCTTCTTAGACATCAGAAAGTCCACATGGGAAAGAGACATCATAAATGCCCAGACTGTGGAAAAAGGGTTAGGAAGAACTCACACCTTATCATGCACCAGAGAATCCATGTGGGAGAGACGTCTTGAATGTGGGTGATGTTTCAGTTGGGCACATATCATATCAGGCATCAGCAAATCTACACAGGGAAGAGTTCTTTTAAATGTCCTTAGCATGGCGAATGCTGCAATTAGGAAGCTAAAGCCATATTGGACCTCAGAGACGCCTCCATACAGGACAGAAATGCTGTTTGTGCTCTGACTAGGGCTGGTCACGGTAGTATATACATCTCCGTTTCCTAATTCCCATACACAGCAGTGGCATTTGGCTCCCAAGTACCTAGCTGCCCATCTCTGGGGGGAGGTTCCAGCAGCAGCTGACCCTGAGGTGATCAGGGACCCTCTGGCTTTGCCTGCTCTAAGCAAACCCCAGGCGGAGGAGGAGAAGTCCTGATTAGCCCCTCCGCCCTGCTGCAGCCTTCGGTACTGAACTGATGGGCCTTCTTGCCTCTTGCTAATCTGCTGGGGGAAGGGAGAGAGAAACTCCTCCAGAAGCTCCCGCTGGGGTTTTTCCCCCCTCCTCCCTTCCCATCCAAGATGGGGTTCCCTTTCCACTGATATTAGAGAAGTATACTTAGGCCAGGCCCCACCTTCACTCCACACACTTGTCCCCATCCTGCATCTTCCACCAGTTCCTGGGCTTGGCTCAGCTTCCACACTTATCTGGAACTGTTTCCTGCAGGATAAGTGTCCCAGGGTGCTGGGGATCAGATGTCAAGTGATCAGGAGGGGGTTTTGCTAGGAGTCTGGGGGATTTAATATTTTGGGCTGGTGGAGAAGAGAATCAAATGGACCTCAGTGCTCAGATGATCAAGATATTGGTCATCATGGAATGAGAAGAGAGGGAGAGTTCAGGGTCAGGGAGGTTCTACCCTCTATCATTCACCTCCTCTGCCCCTTTTCCCTGCCGCCTTTACATTCAGAAGGCAACACTGAGAGGGACTAATTTCCACAGGGCCTTTTTTGGGAGGCCTAGAAATTCAACCTCACCAGGAGGCTAAGTTTTTCTAGCCTAAGAAAGTGGTCAGGAGTAGCAACCAGAATGATCATGGCTTGTTTTGTAAAGGACTTGGAGGTCTACTGATGAAAAGTTCTATCCAAGCACTACATATAATTTTTTATTTATTTTGGGCCAAGCAAAATGAGACCCGACACTCAACTCCATGGCTTTTTTTGCACGTAATGCAATGACTTTGAATGCTGCAACTGATCAATTCAGCCATTTCAAACACCTGTGCAATGCATGGGGAAAGATAGGCACCTGAGGATAGGAGCCACAAAAGTCAGTACCCTAGGTGGGAAGTCACCTAAGCTGGCCAGTGGGACACGCCAATGAGAGAGTTCTATCCTAAATCAGTCCCTCTGACAGTTATGTACCAAAGTCTGGGCTGCTGGGAATTGCCAATTTCTGCTTGGGATGGAGGCTGGGAACCCTGTTCCTGGACTCAGGCAACTTATGCTGCAAGCAATTGGTTTATCACCAGAACCCTCACCCAAGCAGGCGAGGGTGGAGAGGTCAGAGCAATCGCTGGAGTCATGCAGTCCTGGCGGCAGGACGGGAATTGCACTCACTGCAGTAACTCTTTGTTGTTGTGGGTGGAATCCACATTCCTTGCAAGATCTCAGAGCCCAGGCTGTAGATGGGAGAGGTTAGTATCTTCCCAAGGGACCCTCCCACTTCGAAGACCGCAGCCTGCCCAGGACATCGGTCAAGATTCCTTCCCCACTCTGAACTCTAGGGTACAGATGTAGAGACCTGCATGAAAGACTCCCGAAGCTTATTCTTACCAGCTTAAATTAAAAACTTCCTCAAAATACAAACTTTGCTTTGTCCTTGAACCCTATGATGCCACCACCAAACGTGTTAAACAAAGAACAGGGAAAGAGCCCACTTGGAGACGTCTTCCCCCCCAAGCCCTACACCCCCTTTCCTGGGGAAGGCTTGATAAAAATCCTCACCAATTTGCATAGGTGAACATAGACCCAAACCCTTGGATCTTAAGAACAATGAAAAAGCAATCAGGTTCTTAAAATAAGTTGTGCTGAATGGAATGTATATTCCTGTTTTTTTTGTAACTTAAGGTTTTGCCTAGAGGGATTCTCTATGTTTTGAATCTGATTACCCTGTAAGGTATTTACCATCCTGATTTTACAGAGGTGATTCTTTTACTTTTTCTTCTATTAAAATTCTTCTTTTATCAGCCATTTAAACAAAACAGAATCTAACGCATATCTAACTAGATTGCTTATTAGCCCTTTACAGGAGTTCTGACCTGCATTCCTGCTCTGGTCCCGGCAAAAGCATCACACAGACAGAGCCTTTGTTTCCCCCCACCTCCAGCTTTGAAAGTATCTTGTCTCCTCATTGGTCTTTTTGGTCAGGTGCCAGCGAGGTTATCTTAGCTTCTTAACGCTTTACAGGTGAAAGGTTTTTGCCTCTGGCCAGGAGGGATTTTATAGTTCTCTATACAGAAAGGTGGTTACCCTTCCCTTTATATTTATGACACGCCCCCCAAATCACAGGGTGAAACACTGGCTGTGATTTCTTCCTGGAGCTCTAGGAGAAAACAGTTAATAAGACACATGCACCTCTAAATATACTATTAACTGTATAAAGACTAACAATATTTTTCACATCTCAAGGACGATTTTAACCAGTTGATTCTGGGAAACTTTCACAGGAGAGTGCATCAGCCACTTTGTTAGAAGCTCCTGAGATGTGTTGCATGTCAAAATCAAAATTTTGGAGAGCTAAACTCCACCGAGTTTTTTGTTGTTTCCCGTGGTGGTATGAAGCCACTTTAGCACAGCATGGTTGGTTTGCAGGTGGAAACGCTGTCCCCAAACATATGGGCGTAGCTTTTCCAGGGCGTAGACAATGGCGTAACATTCTTTTTCACTGACTCACCAGTTGCTTTCCCTCTCAGAGAGCTTCTTGATGAGAAACACTACATGGTGGAATTGTTGATCCGGTCCTTCCTGCATTAAAACTGCTCCCACACCATGCTCGGACGCATCTGTGGTTACTAGGAACGGTTTGTGAAAGTCTGGGGCCCTTAGCACAGGGTCAGACATGAGTGTCACTTTAAGCTGGTTAAAGGCCTTCTGACACTCTTCGGTCCACTGAATGGCATTTGGCTGTTTCTTTTTGGTTAGGTCTGTCAGTGGGGTGGCGATTTAGCTGTATTGCAGTACAAATCGCCTGTAATAACCGGCCAAGCCTAAGAAGGATTGGACCTGTTTCTTTGACTTTGGGACAGGCCACTTTTGGATAGCATCCACTTTGGCCTGTAGGGGGTTGATAGTTCCTTGACCCATCTGGTGTCCAAGGTAAGTCACTCTGTTTAGGCCTATTTGACACTTCTTAGCCTTAACAGTTAGTCCTGCCTCCCTTATGTGCTCGAAGACTTTTTGTAGATGTTCCAGGTGTTCTGCCCAGGAATCCGAAAATATGGCCACATCGTGAAGGTAGGCGACTGCATATTCTCCTAATCCCGCTAGGAGACCATCTACAAGTCTTTGGAAGGTGGCAGGTGCATTCCGCAGCCCGAAAGGGAGTACATTAAATTCATACAGCCCGACGTGTGGTGAAGGCTGACCTTTCCTTGGCAGATTCATCTAGCGGTACCTGCCAGTACCCCTTGGTTAAATCCAAGGTAGAGATGAACTGGGCCCATCCCAGTTTCTTCAATAGTTCATCTGTGCGTGGCATTGGATAATTGTCTGGGCAAGTTACAGCATTTAGCTTACAGTAGTCCACAGAAAAACTTATCTCCGCATCTGGTTTGGGAACTAGAACCACTTGAGATGCCCATGCACTGCCAGAGGGGCAGATTACACCCATCTGTAGCATATCCTGGATCTCCCGTTCTATAGCAGTTTTAGCTTGAGGAGACACCTGGTAAGGTTGGACTTTAATTGGGTGAGCATTACCTGTGTCAATGGAGTGGTATGCCCGTTCAGTCAGTCCTGGGGTGGCTGAGAATGTCGGTGCATAGCTAGTGCACAGCTCCTTGATCTGCTGTCGCTGCATATGTCCAAGAGTCATGGAGAGGTTCACCTCTTCTACGCCACCATCACTTTTCCCTTTGTAGTAGACACCTTCAGCCACTCAGCGTCATCTCCTCCCTGGGCTGTAAACTGACAAACCTTTAAATCTCTAGAATAAAAGGGCTTTAGAGAATTAATGTGGTACACCTTAGGCTTTCGGTTGGAGGTAGGGAATGCTATGAGATAATTAACAGCTCCCAGGCGCTCCTGGACCATGAATGGCCCTTCCCACGATGCTTCCTTTTTATGGGCCTGGAGCACCTTTAAGATCATGACCTGGTCCCCTACTTTGAAGGAACGCTCTCTGGCATGTTTATCGTACCAGGCTTTTTGCTCTTTTTGAGCATACTGTAGGTTTTCTTTAGCAAGGGCTAAAGAGGTTCGGAGGGTGTTTTGTAGGTTAGTTACAAAGTCCAGAATGTTAGTTTCTGGAGAAGGTGTAAATCCCTCCCATTGCTGCTTCACCAACTGTAATGGCCCCTTAACCTTCTGGCCATATACAAGTTCAAATGGTGAAAACCCTAAACTGGGATGTGGTACAGCTGTGTAGGCAAAGAACAACTGCTAGAACACTAGGTCCCAATCATTGGAGTGTTCATTGACGAATTTTCCTATCATGGCCCCCAGAGTTCCATTAAACTTCTCCACCATGCCATTTGTTTGATGGTGGTAAGGAGTGGCAACCAACTGATTCACCCCATGAGCTTCCCAAAGGCTTTCCATAGTTCCTGCCAAGAAATTAGTTCCTGCATCTGTGCGGATATCAGAGGGCCAACCTGCCCTGGCAAAAATGTCTGCTACTGCCTGGCAGGCACTTTTAGCCCTAGTGTTGTTTAGAGCTGCTGCTTCCGGCCATTGGGTGGCAAAATCCATGAAAGTCAGTATGTACTGTTTTCCTCTGGGTGTCTTTTTCAGAAAAGGACCCAGAATATCCACAGCTACTTGCTGAAATGGAACCTCGATGATGGGGAGTGGCTGGACAGGGGCTTTGACCTGGTCTTGGGGTTTTCCTACTCTTTTGGCACACCACACAAGACCATAGGCCAGACTTCGACTCCCTCAGGGAACAGATGGCCAGGATCCCCTGGGGGACTAACTTGAACGGGAAAGGAGTCCAGGAGAGCTGGCTGTATTTCAAGGAATCCCTGTTGAGTTTACAGGGATAAACCATCCCGATGAGTCAAAAGAATAGTAAATATGGCAGGCGACCAGCTTGGCTTAATGGTGAAATCCTAGCGGATCTTAAACATAAAAAAGAAGCTTACAAGAAGTGGAAGGTTGGACATATGACCAGGGAAGAGTATAAAAATATTGCTCGGGCATGTAGGAATGAAATTAGGAGGGCTAGCGAGAGATGTTAAGAGTAACAAGAAGGGTTTCTTCAGGTTTGTTGGCAACAAGAAGAAAGCCAAGGAAAGTGTGGGCCTCTTACTGAATGAGGGAGGCAACCTAGTGACAGAGGATGTGGAAAAAGCTAATGTACTCAATGCTTTTTTTGCCTCTGTTTTCACTAACAAGGTCAGCTCCCAGACTGCTGCACTGGGCATCACAAAATGGGGAAGAGATGGCCAGCCCTCTGTGGAGAAAGAGGTGGTTAGGGACAATTTAGAAAAGCTGGACGTGCACAAGTCCATGGGGCCGGACGAGTTGCATCCGAGAGTGCTGAAGGAATTGGCGGCTGTGATTGCAGAGCCATTGGCCATTATCTTTGAAAACTCGTGGCGAATGGGGGAAGTCCCGGATGACTGGAAAAAGGCTAATGTAGTGCCAATCTTTAAAAAAGGGAAGAAGGAGGATCCAGGGAACTACAGGCCAGTCAGCCTCACCTCAGTCCCTGGAAAAATCATGGATCAGGTCCTCAAAGAATCAACCCTGAAGCACTTGCATGAGAGGAAAGTGATCAGGAACAGCCAGCATGGATTCACCAAGGGAAGGTCATGCCTGACTAATCTAATCGCCTTTTATGATGAGATTACTGGTTCTGTGGATGAAGGGAAAGCAGTGGATGTATTGTTTCTTGACTTTAGCAAAGCTTTTGACACGGTTTCCCACAGTATTCTTGTCAGCAAGTTAAGGAAGTATGGGCTGGATGAATGCACTATAAGGTGGGTAGAAAGCTGGCTAGATTGTCGGGCTCAACGGGTAGTGATCAATGGCTCCATGTCTAGTTGGCAGCCGGTATCAAGTGGAGTGCCCCAAGGGTCGGTCCTGGGGCCGGTTTTGTTCAATATCTTCATAAATGATCTGGAGGATGGTGTGGATTGCACTCTCAGCAAATTTGCGGATGATACTAAACTGGGAGGAGTGGTAGATACGCTGGAGGGCAGGGATAGGATACAGAAGGACCTAGACAAATTGGAGGATTGGGCCAAAAGAAATCTGATGAGGTTCAATAAGCATAAGTGCAGGGTCCTGCACTTAGGATGGAAGAATCCAATGCACCGCTACAGACTAGGGACCGAATGGCTAGGCAGCAGTTCTGCGGAAAAGGACCTAGGGGTGACAGTGGACGAGAAGCTGGATATGAGTCAGCAGTGTGCCCTTGTTGCCAAGAAGGCCAATGGCATTTTGGGATGTATAAGTAGGGGCATAGCGAGCAGATCGAGGGACGTGATCGTTCCCCTCTATTCGACATTGGTGAGGCCTCATCTGGAGTACTGTGTCCAGTTTTGGGCCCCACACTACAAGAGGGATGTGGATAAATTGGAGAGAGTCCAGCGAAGGGCAACAAAAATGATTAGGGGTCTAGAACACATGACTTATGAGGAGAGGCTGAAGGAGCTGGGATTGTTTAGCCTGCAGAAGAGAAGAATGAGGGGGGATTTGATAGCTGCTTTCAACTACCTGAAAGGGGGTTCCAAAGAGGATGGCTCTAGACTGTTCTCAATGGTAGCAGATGACAGAACGAGGAGTAATGGTCTCAAGTTGCAGTGGGGGAGGTTTAGATTGGATATTAGGAAAAACTTTTTCACTAAGAGGGTGTTGAAACACTGGAATGCGTTACCTAGGGAGGTGGTAGAATCTCCTTCCTTAGAGGTTTTTAAGGTCAGGCTTGACAAAGCCCTGGCTGGGATGATTTAACTGGGAATTGGTCCTGCTTCGAGCAGGGGGTTGGACTAGATGACCTTCAGGGGTCCCTTCCAACCTGATATTCTATGATTCTATGATAGGTGGAAACATCCTTGCCCATTCCCTCCCAGTGGAACGACTTTCCCAAATGGTCTTTGGTTCTGTTCACCCTAGCATGGCCACTAGGATGGTCGTGGGCTAAGCTTAATAGCTTTACCCGGTACTTAGTTCCAACTATCAACTGTCTCTGAGGATGCCAGTCTTCCTGGTGTCCACCAGAAAGAGTTTCCATGTATAAGAGACTATGAGTTGTTCCGTACCGCTGTCCAAGCTCTTTGGAGGTTTTCATCTGCTTCCTGTTCGGTCTGGAACTGTTCCGTTGAGACTGGAGACATCAGTTCCTCATTGGATTGTGGATCTGGGCTTGGTCCCTCTGGAAGTGATGCAGGTGATGGGGCTGTTTCCATTGACTGTGAACCGCTTTCTGCTGGTGCACTATGTTGGGGTTCAGGCTCCAGCTGAGCCTCTTGTGTAGGGTTATCTGCTGCTGCCAGTGCAGGTTCGGTGGGGCCCGCTGGTTTTGGGGTTGCAAGTACTGGATTCAGTGCTGGCAATGGTTCTGGTGCTGGTTGTTCCGCTGGTTCCGGTTCTGAGACTGGCTCTGTCTGGGTCTCTGTGACTGGATCCACTATTGCTGTTGCAGATATTGGCATGGGATCCGGTTCCATTACCTCGGACCGGGTCCTGGTAGAAGTTTCCAGAACAGAGCTAGGCATGACAGATTGCTTAGCCTGGCTGTGGGTGACCATTCCCACCCTCTTGGCTAGCTTCACATGATTGGCCAAGTCTTCCCCCAACAGCGTGGGAATGGGATAATCATCATAGACTGCAAAAGTCCACATTCCTGACCAGCCCTTGTACTGGACAGGCAACTTGGCTGGAGGCAAGTCAAAAGAGTTTGACTTGAAGGGTTGAATCGTCACTTGGGCCTCTGGGTTGATTAAGTTGGGGTCCACTAAGGATAGCCAACACCTGTGCTCCAAGCGGTGACCTTCTTCCCGCCCACACTCACAGCTTCCCTCTGCTCTGAGGGTATCTGGAAGGTATCTGGGCCTGAGGACCTCTGGTGTAATTTCGGTGGAATAAACTGTAATCTGTTGGGGTTCTTGGGGCAGTTGGCCTTTACATGCCCCAGCTCATTACATTTAAAACATCATCCAGCTGACAGGTCACTGGGGTGAGGTGGGTTGCTGGAGAACGGTGTGGCAGGACAATAAGGTGTCTGGAATGTTCTTTGGGGTGTAGTTGGGGCCTTGGGCTGCCCCTGGTAGTAGGGTGTGGTCTGAGGGTGTCCCTTCTGGTATCCGCTGCAACTGTGACCAGGGTTGTTCCTCTCTCCTTCCTCCACCCGTTTTGTTCCATTTTGCCCCTCCTCTCTGGCGGTCTGGGACTGCTTCTATTGATCAGCATAAGAAGCAAGACTTCCTTAGAAGAATTAGTAGGGGAAGCAAAAGTGGATGGGAATCTGGGAGGCAGTGACCATGAGTTGGTTGAGTTCAGGATCCTGACACAGGGAAGAAAGGTAAGCAGCAGGATACGGACCCTGGACTTCAGGAAAGCAGACTTCGACTCCCTCAGGGAACGGATGGGTAGGATCCCCTGGGGGACTAACATGAAGGGGAAAGGAGTCCAGGAGAGCTGGCTGTATTTCAAGGAATCCCTGTTGAGGTTACAGGGACAAACCATCCCGATGTGTCGAAAGAATAGTAAATATGGCAGGCGACCAGCTTGGCTTAATGGTGAAATCCTAGCGGATCTTAAACATAAAAAAGAAGCTTACAAGAAGTGGAAAGTTGGACATATGACCAGGGAAGAGTATAAAAATATTGCTCGGGCATGTAGGAATGAAATTAGGAGGGCCAAATCGCACCTGGAGCTGCAGCTAGCGAGAGATGTTAAGAGTAACAAGAAGGGTTTCTTCAGGTTTGTTGGCAACAAGAAGAAAGCCAAGGAAAGTGTGGGCCCCTTACTGAATGAGGGAGGCAACCTAGTGACAGAGGATGTGGAAAAAGCTAATGTATTCAATGGTTTTTTTGCCTCTGTCTTCACTAACAAGGTCAGCTCCCAGACTGCTGCGCTGGGCATCACAACATGGGGAGTAGATGGCCAGCCCTCTGTGGAGAAAGAGGTGGTTAGGGACAATTTAGAAAAGCTGGATGTGTACAAGTCCATGGGGCCGGACGAGTTGCATCCGAGAGTGCTGAAGGAACTGGCGGCTGTGATTGCAGAGCCATTGGCCATTATCTTTGAAAACTCGTGGTGAACGGGGGAAGTCCCGGATGACTGGAAAAAGGCTAATGTAGTGCCAATCTTTAAAAAAGGGAAGAAGGAGGATCCAGGGAACTACAGGCCAGTCAGCCTCACTTCAGTCCCCGGAAAAATCATGGAGCAGGTCCTCAAAGAATCAATCCTGAAGCACTTACATGAGAGGGAAGTGATCAGGAACAGTCAGCATGGATTCACCAAGGGAAGGTCATGCCTGACTAATCTAATTGCCTTCTATGATGAGATTACTGGTTCTGTGGATGAAGGGAAAGCAGTGGATGTATTGTATCTTGACTTTAGCAAAGCTTTTGACACGGTCTCCCACAGTATTCTTGTCAGCAAGTTAAAGAAGTATGGGCTGGATGAATGCACTCTAAGGTGGGTAGAAAGTTGGCTAGATTGTCGGGCTCAACGGGTAGTGATCAATGGCTCCATGTCTAGTTGACAGCTGGTGTCAAGTGGAGTGCCCCAGGGGTCGGTCCTGGGGCCAGTTTTGTTCAATATCTTCATAAATGATCTGGAGGATGGTGTGGATTGCACTCTCAGCAAATTTGCGGATGATACTAAACTGGGAGGAGTGGTAGATACGCTGGAGGGCAGGGATAGGATACAGAAGGACCTAGACAAATTGGAGGATTGGGCCAAAAGAAATCTGCTGAGGTTCAATAAGGATAAGTGCAGGGTCCTGCACTTAGGACGGAAGAACCCAATGCACAGCTACAGACTAGGGACCGAATGGCTAGGCAGCAGTTCTGCAGAAAAGGACCTAGGGGTGACAGTGGATGAGAAGCTGGATATGAGTCAGCAGTGTGCCCTTTTTGCCAAGAAGGCCAATGGCATTTTGGGATGTATAAGTAGGGGCATAGCGAGCAGATCGAGGGACGTGATCGTCCCCCTCTATTCGACATTGGTGAGGCCTCATCTGGAGTACTGTGTCCAGTTTTGGGCCCCACACTACAAGAGGGATGTGGATAAATTGGAAAGAGTCCAGCGAAGGGGAACAAAAATGATTAGGGGTCTGGAACACATGACTTATGAGGAGAGGCTGAGGGAACTGGGATTGTTTAGTCTGCAGAAGAGAAGAATGAGGGGGGATTTGATAGCTGCTTTCAACTACCTGAGAGGTGGTTCCAGAGAGAATGGTTCTAGACTATTCTCAGTGGTGGAAGAGGACAGGACAAGGAGTAATGGTCTAAGTTGCAGTGGGGGAGGTTTAGGTTGGATATTTGGAAAAACTTTTTCACTAGGAGGGTGGTGAAACACTGGAATGCATTGCCTAGGGAGGTGGTGGAATCTCCTTCCTTAGAAGTTTTTAAGGTCAGGCTTGACAAAGCCCTGGCTGGGATGATTTAATTGGGGATTGGTCCTGCTTTTGAGCAGGGGGTTGGACTAGATGATCTCCTGATGTCCCTTCCAACCCTGATATTCTATGATTCCTGCTGAGTCCATTTTCTTATCCCATAAACACTGTTTTATTTCCTCCTTGGACATATTCAGGAATTGCTCCTGAGCCATCAAATCACAGATTCCTTCAAAGCTAGTTACACCCCTTCCTTTGACCAATTTATCTAACAGATCCTTTATCTGGCTTAGATAAGCCACATTACTTAGTCCAGGTCCTCTCTTAAGGGCTCTAAATTTTACTCTGTAAGTTTCAGATGTAACTTGAAATTGCTTTGAAACCAAATCCTTAAATTTAGTATAGTTAGAAGCCTCATCAATAGGCATCTTATTGAATATGTCCAGAGCTCTTTCAGTCAAGTTTGCAACCAATGTGGTCATCTTGTGAGCTTCAGGAATTTTATAGAGCGTGCACAGTCTCTCAAAGGTGAGAAAATATTCAGCAATATCACTGTTATTCATCATACTGTGGACATAGTCACTCCCATTTGTGGATTGTTGGATAAGGATTGTTAGGGTTATCCGGTATATTCTGCTGAGCCTTTGCTTTCTCCATCTCCAGTGCATGCTTCCTCTCTTTTTCCTTTGCCTCCATTTCTCTCCTGTGGGCAGCCTCTTTGGCTTTTTCTGCTTTGGGTTCTGTCATGTTAGCCTCTCTGTTTTTAACTAACTTTATACCTGAGAATTAAAAAAAAAAAAAAAAAAAACCTGGCTTGTAGAATTTTTGTGCTGTAATGTGATAGCTATGTTCTTTGATAGCTATTCTCAGCCTACAGAAAAATCCTTTGTCTCCAAGCAAATATGATTCCCAGGTGGCAACTACAATTACATTGTGAGGGAAACATTGCTGAATCCATTTAAGAAGTGCTTTTTTTATGTTGTATCTTTCTAGTTTCCTCCATATTTAAGAGCCTCCTCCCCTCCCCCCCCCCAATTTGGGGGAATGGTGTCTCCCAGGTGTTAAAATCATCTAGCCTTTAATTGGCAGATACACCCCCTTATCCTGCGTTGTTTGGGGCTTAGTCCCCATATGGGGCTGCTTTGTGTGTGATTGTCCGCCTCCTTCCTGAAGCAGAATGCATAATTGCTAAACCACTCCATCCCATATAACAACCCTACTGCATTAACCCCTCACGTTCCCACCACTGCATTCACACCAAGGGATCCCAAATGCTCTGTGACAGACTGACAATGTTCTGAACAAACCTTATAGAATTAAGATGAACTTTACTGAAATAAATCCGACCTTACTGAACTAGGTTTAATCCCTTTGGGTCCATTGTGTTAAAAATGCAATTGTGTATGTGTTTATTGTGGCATTATACATCTCTTTTTCCAGTATGAGGGAGATGTGAATGTAATTCCTTCACTTATCAGCCCTTTGAAACCGCTGCCTGGAGAGTGTCGCATAAACTAATTCAAATGGGATTTTCCAGACAAAGAAAAGACTTTGGGATAAATTACCAAGGTTTAGACCAACTCAGGGCCTTCTTCTTGACCCAGCAAATGGACAGGACCCCTGGTCCATGGAAAGCTTAAATCCTTAGGGAAGGGTTGAAAGGGCTCTGACCTACAGAGGCTCCATAAGACTGGGTACTGGTTCTGAGCAGAAGCTGTGATGAACCTGAAGCCACAAGGAAACTTCTTGAGTGGAAGGAGTAATCTCTGGCCAGAGTCCATGTTAGAGTGGGGATGATCTCTGATAAGCTTATTAGCATGCCTGTAGGTTCTTTTATTGGTTTTAATATGTTTTCTCTGTAATGCATTTTACCTTAAGAATAAAATAGGCTTGCTTAGAAAGAGCTGTGTGATAACAGTAACTGCCCACAGTTAAAAGGTAATTGTCTCTGAAGAGAAAGCAAGCAGGCCTGCTGGGGTTGCCTGTCTCTGCTGGGACCAACACAGTAAAGGCAGGGAACTAGACCATCTAGAAATGCCATGATCAGGAGGGAGAGAGATGCGGGTCTCCCCCCAAAAGAGGCAACAGTCTGGGTGCCAGAAGCTTGAGAGTTGAGGAGATGCCTGACATGCACCTCGTGGTAGGAAGTAGCCCAGGGAATGTAGTAGAAGTTGGTGCTTATTCCCTTAATGGGAAATCCCCTGGCTTCATAGCATCCTGGGTTGGAACCCAGTGGAGCAAGGTGGGCCTGCGTTGCCCCCCCCCCCACTTGCTTGTTTGCCTGCAAGCCCATCCAGGAGGCTCAGGGGCCATAACCTGTTTGGTTGCTTTGCCCCACCTGGGAGCTACAAACTGACTGTTTGTCCTGCCCTACTGGAGGGTGAGAAACCCCAGTTGCTGTTGCTTGCCCCAACCAGGAGGCTCAGGGGCCATAGACTGCTTGTTCACTCGCCCTGCCTGGGGGGCTACAGACTGACTGTTCTGCTCTGCCCTGCCCTTCCCAGAGGGTCAGAAACCCCCATTGTCGCTGACTGCCACAGCCAGGAGGCTTGCAGGCGACAGACTGCTTGTTCTGCCCTACCTGGGGGCCATGGCTGGATTATTTGCTCGACCCTGCCAGGAGTTCTGAGGCCACCTTGTTACAATTATTTGATCCCACAGGGAGTCCAGATAATTTTGTGATGGGGTGTACCAATCCCACACTGGGCCAATAGGGGCAGCCCCACTCAACAAACGGCCCCCCATCACAGATCGCCTAAAATTTTCCTAACTTTTTATCTTAGACTGATCCTGCAAAGACTTATGTATCTGTATAACATCATGTCCTGTGCTCCAAGAGTACTATTCACAACGTACAACATGAAGCATAAGTGTAAATATTTGTAGGATCAGAACCTAATTATGTGATTTAATATCCCTTCTGATTTTGGCCTATTTTCTGACATCGGATATTAACAATATCTTCTCAGATTTTTCCAAGTTTCCTCTCTAATTATCAATTTGAAAAAAAATTACTTTCAATGCTTTCCCCTTTAATTCTTGGACACCTATGTCAAATCCCCTATAATAGAGGGAATATTTGAATGTAAGATACTGTGAAGAAAAGGAGACCCTGGGGAGCATGGATGGAGAATGAGTGCAAGAGAAGATTAGATGGGAAACGGGGAGAGACAAGACAGTGATAAGGGAGAGATACAATGGCAGTTACCCTACCCAATGGGATAGAAGAGGATGAGGGGGCTGCTCCACTCGGCACCTAGTGGGGAAATTGGCACCCTGACAGCAGGATTGTCTGGCTATGTAGACTCCCTCCTCAGGCCCTACGCTACCAGCACTCCCAGCTACCTTCGAGACACCACTGACTTCCTGAGGAAACTACAATCCGTCGGTGATCTTCCTGATAACACCATCCTGGCCACTATGGATGTAGAAGCCCTCTACACCAACATTCCACACAAAGATGGACTACAAGCCATCAAGAACACTATCCCCGATAATGTCACAGCTAACCTGGTGGCTGAACTTTGTGACTTTGTCCTTACCCATAACTATTTTACATTTGGGGACAATGTATACCTTCAGATCAGCGGCATTGCTTTGGGTACCCGCATGACCCCACAGTATGCCAGCATTTTTATGGCTGACTTAGAACAACGCTTCCTCAGCTCTCGTCCCCTAAAACCCCTACTCTACTTGCACTATATTGATGACATCTTCATCATCTGGACCCATGGAAAAGAAGCTCTTGAGGAATTCCACCATGATTTCAACAATTTCCATCCCACCATCAACCTCAGCCTGGTCCAGTCCACACAAGAGATCCACTTCCTGGACACTACAGTGCTAATAAACGATGGTCACATAAACACCACCCTATACCGGAAACCTACTGACCGCTATTCCTACCTACATGCCTCCAGCTTTCACCCTGACCACACCACACGATCCATTGTCTACAGCCAAGCTCTGCGATACAACCGCATTTGCTCCAACCCCTCAGACAGAGACAAACACCTACAAGATCTCTATCAAGCATTCTTACAACTACACTACCCACCTGCAGAAGTGAAGAAACAGATTGATAGAGCCAGAAGAGTTCCCAGAAGTCATCTACTACAGGACAGGCCTAACAAAGAAAATAACAGAACGCCACTAGCCATCACCTTCAGCCCCCAACTAAAACCTCTCCAACGCATTATCAAGGATCTACAACCTATCCTGAAGGATGACCCAACACTCTCACAAATCTTGGGAGACAGGCCAGTCCTTGCCTGCAGACAGCCCCCCAACCTGAAGCGAATACTCACCAGCAACCACATACCGCACAACAGAACCACTAACCCAGGAACCTATCCTTGCAACAAAGCCCGTTGCCAACTGTGCCCACATATCTATTCAGGGGACACCATCACAGGGCCTAATAACATCAGCCACACTATCAGAGGCTCATTCACCTGCACATCTACCAATGTGATCTATGCCATCATGTGCCAGCAATGCCCCTCTGCCATGTACATTGGTCAAACTGGACAGTCTCTATGTAAAAGAATAAATGGACAGAAATCAGATGTCGAGAATTATAACATTCATAAACCAGTCGGAGAACACTTCAATCTCGCTGGTCACGCGATTACAGACATGAAAGTTGCGATATTACAACAGAAAAACTTCAAATCCAGACTCCAGCGAGAGACTGCTGAATTGGAATTCATTTGCAAATTGGATACAATTAACTTAGGTTACCTTGCATAATGACTTAGCCACTCCCAGTCTCTATTCAAGCTGATTTCCCTTTGTTTTCCTACCCCCCCCCCCCCTTCCTCAGACGTTCTTGTTAAACCCTGGATTTGAGCTGGAAGTGTCCTACCTTGATTATCATACACATTGTAAGGAGAGTGATCACTTTACATAAGCTATTACCAGCAGGAGAGTGGGGTGGGGGGGAGAGAGAACCTTTTGTAGTGATAAACACCCATTTTTTTCATGATTTGTGTGTATAAAAACAAACATCTTCTGAATTTTCCACAGTATGCATCCGATGAAGTGAGCTGTAGCTCACGAAAGCTTATGCTCAAATAAATTGGTTAGTCGCTGAGGTGCCACAAGTACTCCTTTTCTTTTTGCAAACGCACACTGTGGGAGGTGGACAGATACACATACTCTGCTCCTTATTTATCATGTGAAAAATCTTTTTTAAGACAAACTCAGGGTTCAGGGGTCTGATGCCTGACTGTTTGGGGTTGGCAGTACGGGAAACTTTGTATATTTTAACAACTTATAGAAGCAAGAAGTGTATGCTGAAGTACCCAAGGATATCAGGATCCAGAAGATCCTCACATAATGATCCCCAGGGAATGTGCATTTGCTACTTCTGTGAAAGACCAGGGCATACTAGCCAAGAAAGGAGGAGATCACAGTCCCAGGCATTCGAAACCAAAGGGGCATCAGGAATAGTTGGCCCATCGACAGAAGGCCAAGCAGATGCAGGATTCCTAGGCCTGTCCTTGGTGGAAAATCAGTCTGCCTACAGTACTGAAAGGAAGTGCCAGCATATCTAGCAACTTCTGTGAATGAGCTTTTGGAGACTAACTGCTGAAGTACTTAGAGCAGGGAAGAAAACCAGTGTTGGTTTGATACTGGCTCAGAAGTCACCACCATTACTGAGTCGCCTTTTTCAAAATGGTTTGTACATCTAACAGCAGCTAATGGAATGGCAATCCCAGTGGGGGGATGCCTTGAAGTAGACATAGAATACATGGGTCAGATGCTGCCAGGAAAAAGCATCTTCATACTGAAAGACGAAGTCTCTGAAGGACGTAATCTGGGAGATGGAGTCCCCAGGATGGTAGGGATGTACATCATTAGTGAGCTGAAGGAGCTACTCTCTCCAGGAGAAGGAACTAGAAGGATGAAGTATCCTAGGCACTCCAGCTGAAGACAGGTTCTAGGTAATCCATATTTCTGGGTTGTGACAGCCTTCAGGGATGGGGTGTTGGTGGTGTAGTGGTTAGCAGAGCTGCCATCTAAGCAGTAGGCATGGATTCAATTCCCAGCCACCACAGTGTCGTCTTCAGCTCTTTCCCATCTTGTATCACAACAATTGTAGTGTTGCAAAGCAGAGAGAGAAGAGCTCTTCAGCACCACCCCTGCTTTGTGGTGCAATGGAAAGGGTGTTGGACTTTTAAGAATAGTTTAATGAGGAGGGCCAGTCATCCAAAAATTGTAGGTTCAAATCCCACCAGCATTTCTTTAGTGGCTACTCTGGTAGATTTTATGGAATAGGCAACCACTTGAATGTGGCCAAATGGGCCAAACACAAGGGAAGAAAGGCAGAGCTTGCAAATAGTACATGGCTCCCTCCACTTTCAGAGCGATGGGCTCAGCTCTTTTCCTGCCTCAGTGTGTAGCTGAAATATATTTTGGGGAGCCCAGCAGAGCGCGTGGGATCCTGTTATGATGGAGAGCATCTTGAGAGGGCAGGGCTCAGCCAAAGACACAGCTGGAACCCTGACCCCTCAGGTATAAAATACCCCAACACTTCCCCTTCCCTTCTGGCACCACCAAAATCCAGCTGCAGGTTGAACTGGCTGTGGGATTTCCCCTTCACATCCTGTTACCCCTCTGTCCCACCCCAGAGCCAGCTGCATCTCAGCAGTGGCGAGCGAGCCCAAGGCAGCAGTGCTGTGCGGCTGGTCCCCAGCTGCCCCACCCCAGAGGCGGCTGCATTTCACTGTGAGCCTGTGACCCTGCTACCATACACCAGAGGTGCCAAATTGGGTCTCTGAGCCCGTGGGCCATGCCCTGGGGTCCCGCCAGCCACCTTGAACCTGGGTCCTATGCGTGCACGGCCCAGCAAGCTTGCTGCTGCCAGGGTAAATAACCCCAGGTGACTGATCCCTGGCTGGTGCTCTCAGCACTGTAGACAAGAACCGCTTGGCTCCAGCATCAGCAGATTCCTCCCTTGCACTGAGTTGGGAACTGCAGTAAGAGCCACAGAGCCATGCCTGCAGCAGGGAGCCGGGCAGGTGCATCTGTGTAGCTAGGGGTGTGTGGGGGGGTGTCCCTCAGGTTCTGCAGGTGCACCCACCGTGGAGCTCCAAGAGAGCCACTTCTTAGCCACCACCGAGAATGTGATCGTGGCCTCCATGAACTACTGGCTGGAGGCGCTGGGCCTCCTGTCTCTGCCCCAGGCTGCCCTGGGGAACGCTGCCCTGTGGGACCAGCGCCTAGTGCTGTGCTGTCTGTGGGAGAAAGTGGCCACATTTGGTGGGGACCCAGCCCATTTGACACTCTTCAGCCAGAGTGCTGGGGCTGCCTCAGTCGGCTTCCATCTCCTCTTGCTGGGGAGCCGCTCCCCTCTTTGCCCATGCCATTCTGCAGCGTGGTGTCCCCGCGTGTTCCTGGGCCTGGTTTAGCCCAGAAGCCACCCAGGAGGTAGGCTGGGTGTTGGGCTGTGACCTAGGCTGTAGGGTGACCAGACAGCAAATTTAAAAATTCAGGACAGGGGGTGGGGGGTAATAGGAGCCTATATAAGAAAAAGACCCCAAAATTGGGACTGTCCCTATAAAATCAGGACATCTGGTCACTCTACTAGGCTGTGCCGATCTCAATGACACTGCCCACGTGGGCAGCCTGTGAGGGAAGGAGCTATGAGACTTTGGGAAACACAGTGTGTCCATGCCAACTGTAGAAAGGGATTTCCTGCCCTATGTGCCACCGAGACTCTTGGAGTCTATACCCCTCCTGGCTGGCGTCACAGCCAACGAAGGCTCCTACATGGTCATCAGTGCCCTTAGCTTCACTGGGATGAACGCCAGCCAAATGAGCTGCGAGGAGCTCCTGGAGGTGCGGAGGGTGACAACGCCAGGGCTGCCATGGGACCCTGTCCAGGCAGTGGTGCAGCCAGGAGGCGCAGTGCCCAGCGTGGTGCCGCTGCACCATGGCTCAGATCATCAGTGATGATCATGTGGTGTTCCCCATAGCCAAGATGGCCAGGCGGAGGCTGGTGGTCTCATGTACGTACACCTTCACCGTCTGCCCTGGCAGCTTGTCTTCCCCCAAACGGATGGGGGTGCCGCACGGCTCTGAGGTTCCCTACCTGTTTGGGACCCTGGTGTCCATGGTGGGAGCCAACCACATGCACGGAGGCCGAGGCCAGGCTGAGCCTCAGGGTGATGCGGTACTGGGTGGAGTTCGCCCAGAGCAGGTAAGGGAACCTCTAAGAAGTTGTGACCCTGAGTGCTGCCCTTGGGTTTCAGCTCCCAAGCCACCAGCCCCTGTTTGTCTTACAGCTGATGCTAATGCCAACCAGCCTGGATCCAACTGCACTTTCAGCTTCTCTCCACAAACCCACCTTCAGCTTACACCAGGGGAGGGCAAACTATGGCCCGTGGGCCACGTCCAGCCTGCTAGCCGATTCAGTCTGGCCCTCAAGCTCTTGCTGGGGAGCGGGGTCAGGGGCTGCTCTGCGTGCATGCCGCAGCTCCGTGTGGTCCCAGAAGCAGCGGCATGTCCCCCTTCCAGCTCCACAGGCTGCCTCTGCCCCACGAGCCACTCCTGCAGGTCCTACTGGCTGGGACCTATGGCCAATGGGAGCTGCAGGGGTGGCGCCTGTGGACTGGGCAGCACACAGAGCCGCCTGGCTGTGCCTCCGCATAGGAGCTGGAGAGGGAAACATGCCACTGCTTCCGGGAGCTGCTTGAAGTAAGTGCCACCCAGAGCCTGCACCCCTAACCCCCTCCTGGGCCCCAAGCCCCTGCACTCTGGCCCTGATCCCCCTCCTACCCTCCAAACCCCTGGCCCCATCCCAGAGCACCCTCCTGCACCCCTCATCCCTAACCTCACCCCAGAGCCTGCACCCTCAGACGGAGCCCTCACCCCAATCCCCTCCCTCAGCCTGGAGCCTCCTCCCACATTCTGATCCCCTTAGTCCCAGCCTGGAGCACTCTGGCCCTGATCCCCCTCCCACCCACATTCTGAACCCCTTAGTCCCAGCCTGGAGCACCCTCCTTCATCCCAAACTCCTCATCCCCAGCCCCACCCCAGAGCCTGCACCTCCAGCCGGAGCTCTCATCCACCCTGCACACCAACCCCCTGCACCAACCCAGAGCCCTCTCCTGCAACCTGAACACTTCATTTCTGGCCCTAGCCCAGAGCCTGCACCCCCAGCCAGAGCCCTCACACCATCCAGCACCCCAACCCCAATTTTGTGAGCATTCATGGCCCACTATACAATTTCCATACCCAGATGCAGTCCTTAGGCCAAAAAGGTTGCCCACCCCTGGCTTACACTCTAATTTGGTGTCCCCAGGGCTAAGGAATGGAGTTAATTATTACTAAATCACAACATCCCTGTTCAAACTTTTGTTTTTTCCCTCAGTCCCCTACCAACCACAGCTAGTACCATGAACAAAGCAACATTTCTTCTTCTCAGCCAGAAATCAGGCATAAGCCTAGGTCTGACTACCCAGCCTAGGCCTATTGACTCCCAGGTTAGGGTGAGCCATGCTCCCCACTCTCTAATACCCACAGGCTCTCAGCCTTTCTGCCCCGTTTGTGACCCTGTGCTCACACAGCCAATGAGAGAAAAATTGTGAGGGTGGAAGCTGGGGAAAGCCTGATTGTGCAGCTACAGGGTACTGCATAGAGCTTGGGATATCTATGTAAATTATACTCACCAGCTGGTCCTGAGCCCTTCCCCCTTCCCCATCGGAGCCAGAGAACTATTTCAGATCAAACCTGCAGCTGATATGAGGGTGGCCACCATCTCCCTGCTTTGCCTCCAGAGGGCAGCCTGCGACTTCAGCTCTGTGAAAAAGAACATGGAGGGGTGGCCATTTTGGAAGAGGGAAAAACTGGGTTGTTTGGCTCTTGATCCTTCCTTGCTCATGGGAAGCCTCAATGAGACCTGGCTGGAGACTGTGGGTAGTTGGGTATGTCCTTGTCCCTCTCTGCTGCTACCTACTGGAGTGAAGGACACCTGGTTGGGGCATCCTCCTGTCTGCCCCCTTGTGACTGGAATTCATTCCATTCCCCCCCACTATGCTGACCCATTATTGCATTTCCCCTCAGGAACCCCACAGGGGCAGGAGGCAG